GAGTTCTCCCCCATAGCCATTAATATGGAGTTTTCCCACATAGCCATTAATATGGAGTTGCCCCCTTTGTGTCTATAACAGCCTCCACTCCTCTAGTAAGGATTCACACAAGATTTTGGACTGTTTTGTCATCACTGCCTTTGTCTCAATTGGGAACATTTCCCTCGTTATGCCCGATACCCATTGAACAGCCAGGAGAGGAAGCCCTCAAATGGGAACACAAACCATAATAAAAAGTGGACAAGAGGCTTAAAGGAGAACTATGGGGTCAGGGCTTTTCCCCATAGTTCTCCTAAGGGTAACAGGAGGACACAAACTAGCGTCCTCCCGTCACCCTAAGCTCAGTATATAGGGAGCTACAGCTCGCGGTATACTGAGACGCCGCAGCTGAAGCGGATCCCGACAATTATGTCTGGATCCGCCCAGCTGCGTGACTGACAGCTGGCTCTGCCTATCTAGAAGCAGAGCCAGCTGTACCCGCCCCCTCCCATTTCGCCAGTCAGCGCTGGAGGATCGGACAGGGGAATCCCTGCAGGGAACCGCGAGTGACAGTCACGGCTCTCTGCAGGGATAGATCGAGAAGTGAGCGAGCGACAGTATGTGTTCCCTCCCTTCCCGATCTACTGACAGTCTCATTATCACAGGTCGGCTCAGATTATGAGGCCGAGCGAAGACCACTCGCCTCATAGTTCTCCTTTAATGATGTCTTTTTGCTTGGAATCGCCTTTTAGTCTCACTGACAACCATCCCTTCTCTACAGAGCTCTGTACTGGCAGAGCCGAGTAACAAACACCCCCCCCTCATGTATTGCAGAGGCAGAGCGAGGGCGAGTCAGAACAGCTCTGTTCTGATTACTGAGAGCACTACGTCCAACTCTGGAGGCTGCTAGTAGAATCCCCATCTGACTATCTCTGTGACTTTAATGAACAGAGGAGAATAAATTACAAGACCTGAAGAAAGGAAAAGCGTCTTTGAACTTCCCCTCCCTGGGTAACGATCCCTAAACTGGCTGGTATAGCACACAGACCACTGAACGCCTGTGCAGAAAAGCAATAAACTGCGGCAGGACAGGGTGGAGGCCATTGAACACACTGTACTCTAAGCGTAGGCCAATTGCCGGAAGCCGTACTCTGCCGGAATAAAATTAGCGGGAATCAAAAAGGGGAGATCACCGAATGCTTTGGAAGCAGAAAATGGCAAATGAATGAAAAGTTGTCTAACCTGTTGTCTGGCACGGAAGCTTTACATATTAAGAGTCGGAAGACCGTATTAACTACGAGCGCACGAGGAACGGAAATGGTACGTCAACCTCGCGCCCGTTACGAGATCCCGCCGCTTTTGCCGCGGCCCTTTTTTTTTGGGCAAACAGTTCCCAAGGAAAACTGCGGAAGCCCAGAGACGGCGCTCTGCAAAGTGCGTAGGTTAGCGGCATGCACCATCACCGTTTAAGGAGTTGGAGCCGAGAGTCGCTTATGCTTGTTACCTGCTCGGTTAGGTCCTTCTTCATCGCTTCAAACTGTTCCACCTGCGAGATGCGGTAACAATGGACACAAATGTTAGCATGTGGCTGCCCTTCGGTGAGAAACCACTCACACGTTCATTTCAGTGAATTAAAAAAAAACTGCAGGAGATTGTGGCATCAGATAGTAACGTGTAGGGATCACAGATACTGGTTTTTCGGTATCGAGTACTGATACTTTGTTTTCGGTATTCACCGATACCGAGTACCGGTGCTTCTGCTGGCATGGAGCAGGCTTCCCGGGAAATGACATAGCGCCCTGCTTCCTGATTGCCCGGGAAGCCAGCTCCATGTTGTTTGGCTGGCTTGATTGATTG